TATATGCTTCTAAACTGTTGTGTTCTGAGCACCTCTGCAAAAACAGTGATTATGTGTGAGTGTGGTGAAAGTGTTGAATGATGATGAAAGTATTTTCTTTTTGGGGATTTTCTTTCTTTTTGGGTCACCCTGCCTCGGTGGGAGACGGCCGACTTGTTAAAAAAAAAAAGTGAAAACTTTAAAACACTTGAAATTTTGGAAAGTTTCTAGACATAATGGAGAGACGCTGTGGTCACGGAGCTCACAGAGAATGTAAACAAACCGGGTGGGGCACGGTGACCGTATTAGAAAGTTGGTGGGGGGGGGGAGCCATATAGCGAGTTTTGGTCATAATTTGAAATGTCTGTATTAGCAGAATGCCATAAGGTGAAATGCCATAAAGCGGGGCTCTGCTGTACATACAGTGGACCCTCGGTTATCGGCCGTAATCCGTTCCAGAAGGTTGGCCGATAGCTGAAATGGCTGAAGACCAAGTTAATATTTCCCATAAGAATTAATGGAAGCACAATTAATCTGTTCCAGATGAAAATATTCACAAAAAAAAAAAATAATTTTTTTAACAATTATGTAAGTTTTACATACCTTTATTGAAGGCTAATGCTGGCTTCTGAAAGATAGGGAAGAGGAAAGAGGGAGGAGTTAGTGTTTGGAAGGGAAATCCCCCTCCATAAAGACTTTAGGTAGCAAAGCCTTCTCTGGGGTTACTTTCCTTCTTTGTCTTTTAATGCCACTAGGATCAGCTTGAGAGTCACTGGACCCCTGCCTCACAACAAATCTGTCCATAGAAGTCTGTTTCTGGCATCTCTCTAAGATTTCCCTGAAGTGGGACAGGGTTTTGTCACTGAACATGTTGCAGATATGGCTTGTTTCAGCTTGGTCAGGGTGGTGTTTCTCTACAAAAGCTTGCACCCTGGTCCACATTGCACACACCTCTTTAATCTGTCATTTACTGCTACAGTACATTCATTACTAACCTTAAAATATTTGTAGTATTAATGTAGGGCAAGAGGTGAGTAGTACAGTGGACCCCCGACTTACGATCAGCTCCCAGCTCGAACAATTATGTAAGTGTATTTTTGTAAGTGCTTTTGTAAGTGTATTTTTGGGGGTCTGAAACAGACTAATCTAATTTACAATATTCCTTATGGGAACAAATTCGTTCGGTAACGGCACCCAAACAGACTTCTGGAATGAATTAACCCTTTGAGGGTTTCGGACGTACTAGTACGGCTTACGACCCAGGGTTTTTGACGTACTAGTACGCCTAAATTCTAGCGCCCTCAAATCTAGTGGGAGAAAGCTGGTAGGTCTTCATATGAAAGAATGGGTCTATGTGGTCAGTGTGCACAGTCTAAAAAAAATCCTGCAGCACACAGTGCATAATGAGAAAAAAAAACTTTGACCATTTTTTTGGAATAAAACAGCGACTTTGCACTGTATTTTCGTATGGTATTTATTGTTGTATTCTAGTTTTCTTGGTCTCATTTTATAGAATGGAAGACATATTACAGAAATTGAGATGATTTTGACTGGTTTTACAATGAAAGGTACCTTGAAATTGAGCTCAAAGTAGCAGAAATGTTCGATTTTTACCAAATTTCAAAAGTAAACAAATCGTGCTAAGCGTGCAGTACACGTCAACTGGTGAGTCTAATATTCTTTCACAAGTGCACCAATAATATTTATACCATTTTTTACACTAATGCAGTAATCTGCATAACAGTAAATCTTATATTTTTTGTGAGAATAAAAATTCAAAGTGGAAAGGAAAAGAATATAAGAGGGGCCTTGAGACGTGACTAATGACCAGAGGAAATGTCATTTTAGTGCCAGGAATGTCTTTCTTGTTTATTCTGGACCCTATTCGGAAATTGGCATCTTTTGAAATTTGTGTGAAATTGGCAAAATTGTTAAATTCTGACCACTGTACTGGATAGTTCATTTTCATAAATGGGTGGTTTCTTGCACCCATTCGATAGAAAAAATGGAGTTCTAGCGAAATATTCATGTTTTTTGTCGACTAATACAGTGGAATTGGCCGAAAATGGGGCTCAAAGTGGGCAAAATCGCCGATGCGTAAACATCGCTGAGACCGCTAACTTTGCGAGAGCATAATTTCGTAAGTTTTCCATCAAATTTCAAACTTTTAGTGTCCTTATGATCGGGAAAAGATTCTCTATCTTTTCATAAGAGAAAATAATTTTTTTTTTTTTTAAATTTGGCCGACCCTGAGAACGAGTTTCGGAGAGGGCCTGTCGACCCTCAAAGGGTTAATATCGTAAGTCGGGGGTCCACTGTATTTATTTGTAGGAAGTCACTGTAGGTAGCAGTGGATGCAGATACAGTACACAAAAGTGCCCCCCCTTCCCTGGCTACACTACATCTATATTACAATACACAGCCATATTATTACACTACACAGCCATATTATTACACTACACAGCCATATTATTACCATGTTCACTGAGTTTAATCATTTCTAACAACTGCCTTGAGATGCCATCATAAACAAAGGGAGAAGTAATGAATAATTCATGCCAAGAATTGTAAACAAATGCATATGAGGGCAGTTACTGCACCAGTCGTCAGATTCACAGTTTTCTCTTGTGCTGCATCAGAGAAAACGTAATGTTTACTCTCCATCCCACACTCCACTCGATAACATATGAACATTGCATGTTCATATGCTATGTTTATATGCTACATGATATGTAACGTGTTTCTTGTATAATTTTGAAGAAAATATCATAGATGGATTAATGAAAATGTCTATATTAACCCTTTCAGAGTCTGTGCCGTAGATCTACGACTTTACATTGAGGGTCCAAACTGTAGATCTACGCCATGAGCTTAGCTCACTCTGATAAGCTGTGAGCGGTAAATTTGGGCATAGATATGAGAGAATACATCTATGTTGTATGTGTGCACCACATAAAACAAATCCTGCAGCACACAGTGCATAATGAGAAAAAAACTGAAACCATAATTTTCGATTAAAACAGCAACTATGTAGTGTTTTTTCATATGTTTTTATAGTTGTATTTGTGATTTCTTAGTCTCAATTGATAGAATGCAAGATATATTACAGAAGTAGAGATGATTTTTATTGGTTTTTGTACTGAAAATGGCTTGAAACTGAGCTCAAATTAGCAGAAATGTTAAATTTTTGCCAATGTTCAAGAGTAAACAAATGACCTCACAAGTCTAATACATGCCAGCTGGTGGGTATAATATACGTTCACAAATGTGCTAATATTATTTATACAATTATCACAATATTGCATGACAGTAAATCTTCTATTTTTTGGTTTGAATAAAAATTCATTATGTGAATTAAAAATAAAAAATGGAATTCATTTGTAAAGCCTGAAAACATAACTAATGAACAGAGGAAATGCTAGTTTAGTGCCAGGAATGTCTGCATTGTTTATTCTGGACTCAGTTTTGAAATTGGAATATTTTGAACTTTGCACTAAATGGGCCAAATTACCAATTTCCAATCACTTTATTTTGTAGCTGAAACAGTTGAGTTGGCAATTTCTTGTGCTCACTCAATAGAATAGAAGTAATACTAGTGAAATAGCTAAGAATTTGGTCGACTGGAATAAAGTAATTGGCCTAAAATGGGAGACAGTAGTCAAAATCGCCGATGCATAAATATCGCTGACACATCAAAATTCGCAAGAGCATAATTTCATCAATTTTCCATCTAATTTCGTATTTTTTGTTTTATTACATGTACTTTCAGAAAAAGATTCTCTACCATTTCATAAGAAAAAATAACAAAATTACTTTTTGAAAATTCTTGGACACTAGTGCACACTTTGAAATTTGGCCTCTGGACCCTGAAAGGGTTAACGTAAAATAAGACATGTAATGTGGCAAAGAGTGATTATTAAATATACTTTGCATATAATGAACATTGCATGTTTATATGCTATGTAACATGTTTCTTACATAATTTTGAAGAAAATGTCATAGATGGATTAATGAAAATGTCTATATTAATGTAAAATAAAACATTTAATGTGGCAAAGAGTGATTATAAATATACATTGCATATAATAAACATTTCATGTTTATATGCTATGTAACATGTTTCTTACATAATTTTGAAGAAGATATAATAGATGGATTAATGAAAATGTCTATACTGTATTAACGTAAAATAAGACATTTAATGTACCAGTGATTATTATTAAATATACATCGCATATAAACATTGCATGTTTTCATATAGTTGTAACGTGTTTCTTTGGGCCCATGGTTGCTTATTTTCCAGTTGTACTCGATCAATAACCATAAAAAACAATGGACTATAGCAAAATGTTGGGATGAATGAGCAGAAGCTTCCTCACTCGCCCAGAGACAAGGCCAAACTGACTCGCATGCAGCCCCAGCCGGCGGATGGATGCCTCCCAAGTGGCCGATAACCAAATTAACAGCCGATAACTGGGCGCCAAAAAAACGGCTGATAACCGAGTTGGCTGATAACTGAACCGGCCGATAACCGGGGGTCCACTGTACATTATTCATGGGAAAGTAGAAAAGAATTCTTCCTCTGTAAGCCATATATGTCGTAAGACAACTGAAATGCTGGGAACAAGGGGCTAGTAACCCCTTCTCCTGTATAAATCACTAAATTTGAAGAGAGAAACTTTTGTTTTTCTATTTAGGTCGCCCTGCCTTGATGGGATACAGCAGGGTCGTTAGAACAAAAAAGCTGCAGATGCTTGTGTAGCTTAGCATTCTTCACATTGCAGGCATATTCTCTCCAAAATACTTTTTTAACATAGTCTTGCACACATTGCACTAGAATTTTCTTTTATCTTTGTAGATAACACTCAACTAATGAAGCATAACTGGTATACTTTTCTGAAAAATGGAATTAATCCATTTATCTTTTATTTGTATATAGTGAGGAAGTGAATAAAAAACATGTGATACATAATTTGGTTAATTTTATTTTGTATTTTCAAATTTTACTGCTTACTTTTCAGGCATATAAATGTGGTTTTGAATTTGCTGGTGTGACCGTATTGTCCATCGCAACATACGCAGCATTCACCTTGGGTATCACTCAGTGGCGTACAAAATTTCGAATAAAGATGAATAAAGCTGAGAATGAAGCTGGAAACAAAGCTATTGATTCTCTCATCAACTATGAGACTGTTAAGGTTGGTAATAAGTAAAGTACATTGCTGCAGAGATAGAAGAGTGCTGTAAATGAAGTTTATTTTTACAACTAAGTTGCCTAAATGAGTAGAATTTCCTCTCCCTTGCATGTAAAGCAGCAACTGACAGGTCAGAGAGCAAGGGTTGTGTTTACTTTGCTGTGTTCACTTGTGAGGACTTTTATTGTGTGGAGCTCGATGCAATGCTCTTGTCTTGATAGCTGGCATAGTTGGTTCTTGGTCGGTTCTCTGTACTCAGAGTCCCAGTGTGCTGTCTGCCGTAGCCCAACATGTTTCTGTTCAGACTGTAGTCCAGAAGATTCAGGAGTGGTTAGCTCATCTCCATGCATGGCATGAGGATATAGAGTTCTGTTGGTGTTTGGGCCATGTTGATGTACTAGGAAATGAGCACATGCATACCGAGACAGGGGCTGCTGCTGTTAGCCACTCTGTAGACTTTTCTTTAGTGACTTTATAGGCCATATTCCTAGGTGCGTCCTTGGGCAGTTGTATGTCCAGTGGGTCCAACATACTAGGCATAAGTTATTCAGGGTTCAACAGGACTTAGGTGTTTGGCCTTCCTCCTTCAACAGGAATCATCATTTTGAGATGAAGCTGTCAGTTGAGGATCAGGCAGCAGCATCTCATCCATAGCCATCTGTTTGTGTGTGCTTCTGCCTCCCTCCCTGTATAGTTTGTGGTATGCTGCTGACTGTGGAACATTTTAGCAGTTTGTCCACTGTTTAGGCATTTCTGCCTTCATGGTTTTTACAGTTACTGGTGTTCCTGGGTGAACTTATTGAGGAATGGGTGGGTGACACCCTTCTTTCTCCTCTCTGTAACCTGGTTCACCTTACTCTAAGAACATAAGAAAGAAGGAGCACTGCAGGAGGCCTACTGGTCAATGCCTTAACCTAGTTAGGTCAGGTCATGTTCACTTAAGGAAGGAGCATGGCGTCTGACCTAGTAGCACAAGCTAGTCAGGTCCAACTCGCACCCACCCACACTCACTCGTGTACTTATCTAACCTATTTTTAAAACTATGTAACGTCTTAGCCTCTATGACGGTACTCGGGAGTTTATTCCACTCATCCACAACTCTATTACCAAACCAGTGCTTTCCTATATCCTTCCTGAATCTGAATTTCTCCAACTTAAAGCCATTGCTGCGAGTCCTGTCTAGGCTAAATATTTTTAGCACACTTTTTACATCCCCTTCATTTATTCCTGTTTTCCATTTATACATCTCAGTCATATCCTCCCTAATTCTATGCCTTTCTAGAGAGTGCAGATTCAGGGCCCTCAGTCTATCCTCATCGGGAAGATTTCTGATACATGGGATCAACTTTGTCATCCTCCTTTGTACGTTTTCCAGTGCATTTGTATCCATTCTGTAATACGGTGACCAGAACTGTGCAGCATAATCTAAATGAGGCCTAACCAAAGATGTATAGAGTTGAAGAAAAACCTGAGGACATCTATTATTTATACTTCTTGATATGAAGCCAAGGATACTGTCAGCTTTGTTGCAAACACTTACACTGTTGTCTTGGTTTCAGATTACTGCCTACCAGAACTCCTAAATCCTTTTTGCAATCAGTAAAATTAAGATCTACATTATTTAGTTTATATGCAGCATGGTTATTTTCCTGTCCAACATTTAGAACTTTGCATTTGCCTATATTAAACTGCATCTGCCACTTCTCCGACCACTTCATCAGTCTATTCAAATCATCCTGGAGTGCTCTAATGTCCTCATTAGAATGAATTGGATGGCCTATTTTGGTGTCAGCAAATTTGCTTATGTCGCTATTTATTCCCTCATCTATGTCGTTTATGTAAATTGTGAACAACAAGGGGCCCACACGCCCTGTGGAACACCGCTTGTGACGTGCCCCCATTCTGATTTCTTCCCATTTGTGGGGAGAAAGTTACCTTCAGTATATTTTATTTATTTATTAACACATTGGTTGCTTGTCACCAAGGCAGGGTGGCCCAGAAAAGGAAAACTTTCATCATCATTCACTCCATCACTGTCTTGCCAGAGGTGTGCTTACACTACAGTTATAAAACTGCAACATTAACACCCCTCCTCCAGAGTGCAGACACTGTACTTCACAGCTCTAGGACTCAAGTCCAGCCTGCCAGTTTCCCTGAATCCCTTCATAAATGTTACCTTTCTCACACTCCAACAGCATGTTAAGTCCTAAAAACCATTTATCTCCATTCACTCCTATCAAATACGCTCACGCTTGCTTGCTGGAAGTCCATGCCCCTCGCATGCAAAATCTCCTTTACCCTCTCCCCTCAACCTTTCCTAGGCTGACCCCTACCTCGCCTTCCCTCCACTACAGATTTATACACTCTTGCAATCATTCTATTTCATTCCATCCTCTCTACTTGTCTGAGCCACCTCAACAACCCCCCTCGGCCCTCTTGAAAATCCCGCACCTCCACCTAATTTCCAAAGTACAAATTCTCTGCATTATATTCACACCACACATTGCCCTCCGACATGACATCTCCACTGCCTGCAGGCTTCTCCTTGTTGGAGCATTCACCACCCATGCTTCACACCCATATAAGAGTGTTGGTATAACTATACTCTCATACATTCCCCTCTTTGCTTCCACAAACAAAGTTCTTTGCCTCCACAGACTCCTTAGTGTACCACTCACCCTTTTCCCATCATCAGTTCTGTGATTCGCCTCATCCTTTCATAGACCCATCTGCTGACATGTCCATTCTCAAATATCTGAATACATTCACCACCTCCATACTCTCCCCCTCCAATCTGATATCAAATCTTTCATCACCTAATTTTTTTGTTATCCTCATCACCTTACTCTTTCCTATATTCACTTTTAATTTTCTTCTTCTTTTACATACCCTACCAAACTCATCCACCAACCTCTGCAACTTCTATTCCGAATCTCCCAAAAGCACAGTTTCATCAGCAAAGAGCAACTGTGACAACTCTCACTTTGTGTTAGGTTCTTTATCTTTTAACCCCACACCTCTTTTCAACACCCGTGCATTCACTACTCTTACCACGCCATCTATAAATATATTGAATAACGAAGGTGACATCACACATCCTTGTCTAAGGCCTACTTTTACTTGGAAATAATCTCCCTCTCTCCTACATACTCTAACCTGAACCTCACTATACACACAAAAACTCTTCACTCCTTTCAGTGACTTACCTTTTATTCCATACACCTGCAACATCTGCCACATTGCCCCCTTATCCACCCTGTCATACGCCTTTTCCAAATCAATAAATGCCACAAAAACCTCTTTACCCTTATCTAAATACTGTTCACCTATATATTTCACTGTAAACACTTGGTCTACACACCCCCTACCTTTCCTAAAACCTCCTTGTTCATCAGCTATCCTACTCTGTCTTACTCTTAATTCTTTCCATAATAACTTGACCATACACTTCACCAGGTATACTCAACAGACTTATTCCCTTTTTATTTTTGCACTCTCTTTTGTCCCCTTTGCCTTTATACAAAAAAAACTATGCATGCTCTCTACCATCCCTAGTTACCTTACCCTCTTCTATACATTTATTAAATCATAGCACTAACTACTACAAAACTGTATCCCCACCTGCTTTTAACATTTCTGTCTTTATCCCATCAGTCCCAGCTGCCTTACCCCCTTTCATTCTACCGCTGCCTCACGAACTTCCCCCACACTTACAACTGGCTCCTCCTCACTCCTACAAGATGTTATTCCTCCTTGCCATACACACGAAATCACAGCCTCCCTATCATCATCAGCATTTAACAATTCCTCAGAATATTCCCTCCATTTTCCCGATACCTCTAACTCTCCATTTAATAACTCTCCTCTCCTATTTTTAACTGTCAAATCCAATCATTTCCCTAGGCTTCCTTAACTTGTTAATCTCACTCCAAAACTTTTTCTTATTTTCAACAAAATTTGTTGATAATATCTCACCCACTCTCATTTGCTCTCTTTTTACATTACTTCACCACTCTCTTAACCTCTCTTTTTCTCTCCATATACTCTTCCTCCTTGCATCACTTCTACTTTGTAAAAACCTCTTATATGCTTACTTTTTCTCCCTTTTTACTATGTTTCCACCAGTCGCTCTTCTTCCCTCCCGCACCCACTATCCTGTAACCACAAACTTCTGCTGAACACTTTAACACTACATTCTTAAACCTACCTCATACATCTTCGACCCTATTGCCTATACTCTTACTAGCCCATCTATCCTCCAACAGTTGTTTATATTTTACCTTAACTGCCTCCTCTTTTAGTTTATAAACCTTCACCTCTCTCTTACTTGCTGCTTCTGTTTACCTTGTATCCCATCTACCTTTTACTCTCACTATAGCTACAACTAAAAAGTGACCACAGTTATATCAATAGCTGTGGCCCCTCTATAAACATGTACATCCTGAAATGTACTCAACAGTCTTATATCTACAAATACGTAGTCCAACAAACTACTGTCATTATGCCCTACATCATATCTTGTATACTTATTTATCCTCTTTTTCTTAAAATATATGTTACCTATAGCTAAACCCCGTTCTATACAAAGTCCAGTCAAAGGGCTCCCATTATCCTTTATACCTGGTACCCCAAATTTACCTATCACACCCTCTCTAAATGTTTCTTCTACTTTATCATTTAGGTCCTCTACCACAATTGCTCTCTCACTTGGTTCACAAGTTCCTCTACATTCGCTTAACATCTCCCGAAATCTCTGTCTCTCCTCTACACTCCTCTCTTGTCCAGGTGCATACATGCTTACTATAACCCAGTTTTTGCATCTGACCCTTATTTTAATCCATATAATCCTTGAATTCATACATTTATATTCCCTCTTCTCCTTCTATAACTGATCCTTTATCATTATTGCTACCCCTTCCTTTGCTCTAACTCTCTCAGATATGCCTAACCTAATCCCATTTATTTTTCCCCACTGAAGCTCCCCTAACCCCTTCAGCTTTGTTTCACTTAGGGCCAGGACGTCTAACTTCTTTTCATTCATAGCATCAGCAATCGTCTCTCTCTTATCATCCGCACTACATCCACGCACATTCAAGCATCCCAGTTTTGTAAAGTATTCCTTCTCTTTTTTTTAGTAATATATACAGGAGAAGGGGTTACTAGCCCATTGCTCCCCTCATTGTAGTCACCTCATATGACACACATGGCTTAAAGAGGAAAGATTCTTTTCCACTTCCCAATGGAGAATAGAGGAAATAAAGAAGAACAAGAGCTGTTAAGAAAAAAGAAAATCCTAGATTTTTTTTTTTAACAGACTGGCCGTATCCCACCAAGGCAGGGTGGCCCAAAAAAAAAAACGAAAGTTTCTCTTTTTAAATTTAGTAATTTATACAGGAGAAGGGGTTACTAGGCCTTTGCTCCCGGCATTTTAGACGCCTCTTACAACATGCATGGCTTACAGAGGAAGAATTCTGTTCCATTTCCCCATGGAGATAAGAGGAAATAGACAAGAACAAGAACTAGAAAGAAAATAGAAGAAAACCCAGAGGGGTATGTATATATATATCCTTGTACATGTATGTGCAGTGTGACTTAAGTGTAAGTAGAAGAAGCAAGACATACCTGAAATCTTGCATGTTTATGAGACAGAAAAATGGACACCAGCAATCCTACCATCATGTAAAACAATTACAGGCTTTCATTTTACACTCACTTGGCAGGATGGTAGTACCTTCTTGGGCGGTTGCTGTTTACCAACCTACTACCTAGAAAAAACCTAGATGTGTGTGTATATATATAGGCATGTGCATGCCTTTGTAGTAGGACCTAAGTGTAAGTAGAAGTAGCAAGATATACCTGTTATCCAGCATATTTATGAGACAGAAAAAAAGACACCAGCAATCGTACCATGTAAAACAGTTACAGGTTTTGGTTTCACACTCACTTGGCAGGACGGTAGTGCCTACCTGGGTGGTTGCTGTCTACCAGCCTACTGCCTCAGTGCACTTCCCACAAAATAATAATCTTAATAATAATTGTTTGCATTATCCTTTTCAGCCAGGATGTGCCTTACTTATACAGTGGAACCTCTACTTGCGAGCACATCCACGTGTAAGTTTTTCCAAATATGAGCAGTCGATGGGTCGAGTTTTTGCTTCCATACGTGAGCAAAATTTCCATAAGCGAGCAGACCTCAAGGCAGGTTCCTTGACGCTGGTGAGGGGCTCTTGCTCTTGATCTAGGGAATTGTGTCTCATTTGTTTGTTGGACTATCTTACTGAAACTTGGGCAATGTATGATGGAAAGATGCTTCTTAACCCTTTGACTGTCACGGCCTTATATATACGTCTTACGAGGCACCGTGTTTGACGTATATATACTCATAAGTTCTAGCGGCTTCAAATCAAGCAGGAGAAAGCTGGTAGGCCCACATGTGAGAGAATGGGTCTGTGTGGTCAATGTGCACCATATAAAAAAATCCTGGAGCACGCAGTGCATAATGAGAAAAAAAAACTTCGACCGTTTTTTTTTTAATTAAAATACCGACTTTGTGGTCTATTTTCGTATAGTATTTATGGTTGTATTCTCATTTTCTTGGTCTCATTTGATAGAATGGAAAACATATTATAGACATAGAAGTGATTTTGATTGATTTTACTATAAAAAGAACCTGGAAATGGAGCTCAAAGTAGGGGAAATGTTTGATTTTTGCCCATGTTCAAAAGTAAACAAATGATGTCCTTGTCCAATAAATGTCCAACTAGCCATTCTAATATGCAGTCATGAATGGGTTGATGTTATTTATACAATTATTACAATGTTGCAGTAGTCTGCATAATAGTAAGTCTTCTATTTTTTGTTTGAATAAAAATTCAAAGTAGAAAGCAAGAGTAATATCAGAGGGGCCTGGAGACATGACTGATGAACAAAGAAAATGTTATTTTAGAGCGAGGTATGTCTGCATTGTTCATTCTGGACCTTATTTTGAAATTGTCATATTTTTTAACTTTCGTGAAATTCGCCAAATTGCAAATTTCTGACCACATTATTGGGTAGTTGAAATTAGTAAATGGGCAGTTCCTTGTACTCAATCAATAGAACAAATGGAGTTCTAAAGAAATAGCTATGAATTTGGTCGACTGGAACAACGGAATTAGCCGAAAATAGGGCTCAAAGTGGGCGAAAGAGCCGATTTGTAAATATCGCCGAGGTCGCTAACTTCGCAAGAGCATAATTCCATCAGTTTTCCATCAAATTTCATTTTTTTTTTGGTGTCATTACAATCGGGAAAAGATTCTCTATCATTTCATAAGATTTTTTTTTTTTTTTTTTTTTTTTTTTTTTAAATTTTGCGACCCCAGGAGACACATCAGGATTGGGGGTTGTGACAGTCAAGGGGTTAATGTATACCAAAAATGAAAGAAATCTAAGCATAAATAATGATGTCCACTTCTCAGCAATTAGTCACCCCTTAGCAGTATTTTCACATGGTTTTTATTGTTGTATTCTCATTGTTTTTGTCTCGTTTGATAGAATGGAAGATATATTACAGAAATAGATATGATTTTGATTGTTTTCACGACAAAAAGTACCTTGAAATGTTCGATTGTTTTGGCTATGTTCGAGTAAACAAATGATGTCACTGTCCATTCCAATATGCATTCATGAATGGGTTGACTTTATTTATACAATTATTGCAATAAAGCATAACAGTAAATCTTACATTTTTTGTATGAATAAAAATTACAAATTATTTATATTTTATTAATTTTAGAGTATATGTCAGGTTTCTCTGTTATTTATATTGTTTATTAAGTCATATTAGATTAAGTGAGATAGATAAATAAGCCGTAGAGTTGGTATTAGCGAAATTATTGAAGTACAGAATTCCACTGGAACAGATTAATTGCATTTCAATTACTTTAAATGAGGAAAATTGACTGCAAATGAGCAAGTAGAGGTTCCACTGTAAACTGAAGCAAGAATGAGGGAAAGCTTAAGGAGGGAGGATTAGAACTCATAACAGTGCCTGACTAGGTGTCCCTGGAGCCTGGCCAGGTGTCCCTGGAGCCTGACCAGGTGTCCCTGGAGCCTGACCAGGTGTCCCTGGAGCCTGACCAGGTGTCCCTGGAGCCTGACCAGGTCTCCCTGTAGCCTGACCAGCACAGTTGAAACAACATGATTATCAAGTTTTATTTGTACACATTTAAAGTAAAATATTGTTATTGAGTGCTTTCTTGGTCTTTTTGTATCAAAGAAGCAGAAATCTGCATGTAAGGATTTCAACTTTTGAAGGTTGGCCACTCACTACATTGTCTGAAAATTTGGTCTTAAAATCTTATACAGTAGAGTACTGTATACATATGGTAACTACAGGTACACATTTCTTTCTTTGGAATTTAAGAGAATTATTTTGCGTGTGTTCTTCATTAGCAAATTTGATGGTGGCATTTCTTTCAGTACTTCAACAATGAGATCCACGAGGCTGACCAATATGACAAGTACCAGCAGAAGTATGAGCGAGCCTCCTTGAAAACTGCTACATCCTTGGCATTACTCAACTGGGGTCAGAATGCAATTTTCAGCATTGCTTTGTCAGCAATGATGGTTCTGGCAACCAAGGAAATTATTGCAGGTAATTGGCATATCAAATATTAAAAAATAAAAAATTGCTATTGAATAAATGGAGGATTTTGGAAATGGAAATTCTTGAATGATGTACTACAAATATTTAAGCATTTTTTTTTTTTTTTTAGGAACATAGGTTTTTTAATGAACATCTTTTTTTTTGTTAGGGGTTCATGTTATTTTCACTGTAAATGAAAGTACCCTCTCTCAGCAAGGATGCCTATGAACCTCATGGGGTAGAGAAAGTGTCTACCTTTCACTTTGATGCTTAGTGAGGATGCTTTTTCATCAGATGGGAGAGGATTTCATGCCTTTTCTCATTGTTTCATGTAACTGCATGCTTCTCAAGCAACCCAGATTTTTATAAAATTTTATGTGGCTATCATTATTTATCAGTAAATAATTTTAATTTTGTACATACTGACTCACTTTTCACAAAGTTAAAACAGTAATTAAGCACAGCTTGCTTGATATAATTATGCAAGCTTTGTCATCAAAGTCATGTTGATAAGTTCTTTGTGAAAATCATGGTAAATGTGTATACACGTACATCTGTGGACTTGTCAGTAGATAGTTCTGTGAGAAATAAGGCGAACTGTAGAATTGATAAGGAAAAAAGGTGGGTGGTGCATTGACAGACTCAACAAACTTGATCCATGGAGGCAAAATGGGAGGTGTACTAGAGTACAGTGAAAACAACTGTTGTATAGGTGTGAAGCATGGGTTTGCATATTGAAGTGAGGAGGAGGCTGGAGGCAGTAGCAATGCCATGTTTGAAGGCCATATGTGGTGTGAATATTTTGATGAGAATTCAGAGTTTGCAAGATGTGTTGAGCTACTAAAAGTTTTATTCAGAGGGCTGAGAAGGGGTTGAGGTGTTCTAGACACTACGACAAGGTCCTAAATGCACTAGAAGACAAAAAGAATGCAGATGTAATATATACAGACTTTGCAAAAGCCTTCGACAAGTGTGACCATGGCGTAATAGCGCACAAAATGCGTGCTGAAGGAATAACAGGAAAAGTCGGTCGATGGATCTATAATTTCCTCACTAACAGAACACAGAGAGTAGTCGTGAACAGAGTAAAGTCCGAGGCAGCTACGGTGAAAAGCTCTGTTCCACAAGGCACAGTACTCGCTCCCATCTTGTTCCTCATCCTCATATCCGACATAGACAAGGATGTCAGCCACAGCACCGTGTCTTCCTTTGCCAGTGACACCCGAATCTGCATGACAGTGTCTTCCATTGCAGACACTGCAAGGCTCCAGGCGGACATCAACCAAATCTTTCAGTGGGCTGCAGAAAACAATATGAAGTTCAACGATGAGAAATTTCAATTACTCAGATATGGTAAACACGAGGAAATTAAATCTTCATCAGAGTACAAAACAAATTCTGGCCACAAAATAGAGCGAAACACCAACGTCAAAGACCTGGGAGTGATCATGTCGGAGGATCTCGCCTTCAAGGACCATAACATTGTATCAATCGCATCTGCTAGAAAAATGACAGGATGGATAATGAGAACCTTCAAAACTAGGGAGGCCAAGCCCATGATGACACTCTTCAGGTCACTTGTTCTATCTAGGCTGGAATATTGCTGCACACTAACAGCACCTTTCAAGGCAGGTGAAATTGCTGACCTAGAAAATGTACAGAGATCCTTCACGGCGCACATAACGGAGATAAAACACCTCAATTACTGGGAGCGCTTGAGATTCCTAAACCTGTATTCCCTGGAACGCAGGCGGGAGAGATACATGATTATATACACCTGGAAAATCCTAGAGGGACTAGTACCGAACTTGCACACGAAAATCACTCACTATGAAAGCAAAAGACTTGGCAGACGATGCAACATCCCCCCAATGAAAAGCAGGGGTGTCACTAGCACGTTAAGAGACCATACAATAAGTGTCAGGGGCCCGAGACTGTTCAACTGCCTCCCAGCATACATAAGGGGGATTACCAACAGACCCCTGGCAGTCTTCAAGCTGGCACTGGACAAGCACCTAAAGTCGGTTCCTGATCAGCCGGGCTGTGGCTCGTACGTTGGTTTGCGTGCAGCCAGCAGCACCAGCCTGGTTGATCAGGCTCTGATCCACCATGAGGCCTGGTCACAGACTGGACCACGGGGGCATTGACCCCCGGAACTCTCTCCAGGTAAACTCCAGTAAAGGGAATGAGGGGTAGGGGTCATCCTAGGAAAGGTTAGAGGGAGGTTTTAAATGCTAGGGGTAGGGATGTTGCAGTTTGGAGGGCCATCCAGACTGTGATGTCAGCAGTCTTCTGATATAGCAGTAATTTAATGAGTGACATTAACCCTTTGACTGTTTCCGACGTATAAATACGTCTTACGAGCCAATGTTTCTGACGTATTTATACGCACAAATTCTAGCGGCTTCAAATCAAGCGCCAAAGGCCTGGTAGGCCTACACGAGAGAGAATGGGTCTCAGTGGTCGGTGTGCACCCTGTGAAAAAAATCTGGGACCCAGCGGTGCATTGTGGGAACGCCATGTTAGTCCATTTTCACCATGCCTCTCGGTAAGAAGTTCCTCACTCCTCGGCGGATTGGAGGTCTTTTGTTCCCAAGTGATAGCTCTAACAGCGATGAAAATGTCAGTGACAGTGAATTCCAGGGTTTTGAAGTGAGTGTTACCGGAAAAAGTGCCCAGGATAGCGTAATTAGTGATGAAAACCCAGATGACCCACAACCTTCCACCTCTGGTGCTGTGCCGGCTTGCTCACGTTCACGTTCGCCTGTACCAGGACGAAAGAGGAAACTATTTGGTCGTGTACAACACCCAGATGATAGCAGTGATAGTGATAGTGATTTCAAGGTCATTGAAAGAAGTTCTAGTGACAGTGAGAGTGAATATTCCCCAGTGAAGCGGCAGTATGTACGACGTAGCATGCGGTCTGGTAGTGTTTCATATGTTGTTCCAAGGGGAAGGAGAAACTCTGGGAGCACATCCCGTGGCCCTACACCACGACCTGATAGTGAAGATGACGATATTGTAACGATGGGTATGAATGGTGACAGTGAGGGAGGAGGCAGTGGTGGTGATAGTGAGGGTGGCACGGCCCATGTGGCACCATCAGCGGGCCACGCTACTACCCACGCTGCTGACGCAGCACAACAACCAGCCTCACCCTACCCCACACTCCCACAACCTGCACCACCACAACCTGCACAACCACAACCACGGTACAATATCCAGACCCCACCAGCAGACCGCATCTGGGATTGGCAGGACGGTGACGAGTTTGTTCCCAGTCCCATGACTTTGATGCAACACAAAGTGGAATAAAGCCATCTTGTCCACTTGGGAACAATGCCAGTGAACTGGACTGCTTTGAGTTATTCTTCGATGAACCCCTGATGGACATCATTGTCAGGGAAACAAACACATACTGTGATTACACCATGGCAAATACAATTCTCTCACCAAAATCACGGCTACACAAGTGGAAGGAGACAACTGTGGCAGAGATGTACCTGTTTTTTGCCACAATAATGCTTATGCCACATGTGTATAAGCACACTGTCACCACATACTGGGCAACAGAACGCCTGATTTCAACTCCAGGTTTTAGTGACATTATAGGTGTCAATCGTTTCCTGATGCTGTTACGTATGTTACACTTTTCAGACAAAACCAGGCCTGACAGAAGCTACAGGTTATATAAGATCAGAAATGTGTTTATGTACCTGAAACAAAAGTGCTGCATGTATTTTTATCCCTTCAGGAAGCTTGTTATTGATGAGTCCTTGATTTTATTCAAAGGAAGACTCTCATTCAAGCAATATATACCAAGCAAGAGGAAACGCTTTGGTATAAAGCTATTTGTACTGTGTGATTGCAGAAGTGGTCTAGTTTTGGATATCATTGTGTACACTGGCAGTAATACTTTGAGAGATACCATGAAGTTATTGGGTATCTCTGGTGATGTGGTTCGAACAATGATGGAACCATATCTTGGTAAGGGGCATATGTTATTTACTGATAACTGGTACACAAGCCCCTTACTCAGTGATTTCTTGCGAGTGAACTTGACAGACGTGTGTGGCACAGTGCTTGGTAATCGTAAACATATGCCAAGGTTCAACGCTGGCACTCGCAGAGGTGAGGTGCAAGCCTTTGCTGCCAATGACATCATGGCATTTCGGTGGCATGATAAACGTGATGTCACATTGTTGACATCAGTTCACAGAAACAAAATGGTACCCAGTGGCAGGGACAACAGAGAGACCAATGAACCCATTCTAAAGCCTGCAGCTGTCATGGACTACAACCTCAATATGCGCTTAGTGGACAAATGTGACATGCAGATTGGGTTTGCAGACTGTGTACGCAAGAGTTATAAGTGGTATATAAAACTTTTTTCCATCTTGTTGATATCTCTATGCTAAATGCTTATAACATATACAAGTTGAAGACCAACAAAACACCAAAATATGGTGAATTTTGCCTGTCAGTAATCAGACAAATAATCGCAAAGTACCAAGGAGCAACACCTGCGATAGACCAGCGCCCACAGACGTCATCTCGTTTGAGGCCTGGTGATCACTACCCCATACAGCTGCCTCCTACTACTGCCAAGAAAAATGCTCAGAAGAGGTGTTATGTATGTATGCATACCACAAAACGCCCACAAACACGCAAAGACACTCGTTTTATGTGTGAGGAGTGTGAAGTGCCCCTCTGCATATACCCATGTTTCAGAGAGTTCCACAAGCTGCAGCAGTTCTAGGAACGTGTTTAGTGACTGTACATATGTATATATATATTATGGAACAATAGTAATAAACATTGTTTTGTATTGTTTGTTTGTGTAAACAAAGTGTATACACAAACTAATAGTGATAAAGTTTGTTCTGTTATTGTGTTGTAAACAATGAGTGTATATTTGAACAATGCACCTTACATTGGTCTCACAGGCCACATAAGTTACCTGGAACAGAAAAATATTGAAAAATGCAAGAAACCTTTGAATTAGAGTAAATAAAAGAATACCGGGTGGGCGGCGGTCACCGCTGTTGCCGTACGCACGTCACTTTCTGCAAACTTTGTGGCTCTATATCTCGGTAAGTACTGATGGCAAAAAAATTTTTTTAGGCTTAAAACACTACTAAAAATATTCCTAACATTTTCATAAGAAAAAATATATTTTTTTTTTTTTTCGAATATTTGGCGACATAGAATGACAGTTTCAGAGAGGGCCCTGAAACAGTCAAAGGGTTAATAGTGGTTTCTTCTTTGTTGGGTCACCCTACCTGGTGGGAGACAGCCAGAGTTTAAAAAAAAAATAATGCACAAGTGTGTGTGTTAGAATTGAGTGATTGTAGACAAGCAGTTTTTTTGGTCTTGACATGCTGTTAGTGTGAGCAAGGCAACATTTATGCAGGGATTCAGGAAAACAGGTTAACAGGATTAAAATTTCTGTACTCTGAAGAATGGATGGGGGATATTGCAGTTCAAAAGGTCATTTGAATTGTATTTTTTTTTTTTTTATCATTTCCTGGTGGAAAAATGACTATGTAATTTTAACAATTTCTTAATCCTCAATTCTTTACATGCTAAGGACATATTAGCAATCTATTGATGACCACTTGTGGAATGTTATGGTTTATGTAATTATATTGAGTATTGTTTATGTATTGCAGGTCATTTAACAGTTGGTGACCTTGTGATGGTTAATGGACTTTTGTTTCAACTGTCTCTACCACTGAACTTCCTAGGGTCAGTTTATCGTGAAGTACGCCAGGCCCTAATTGACATGCAGACCATGTTCACACTGATGAAACAGCCTGCTGCTATTACAGTAAGTAGGCCTCTTCAAGAAACATTGTGCATATATTCAAACATTTTTATATTATCATAATATCTGGATATGTTGTTTGTTGTTGAATATAATAGCCCTGGTGCAGTATCGCTGAAACATTTACAGAATTATTTCTCGTGAGTGCTTCAGATTAAATTGCTTGAAAGCATTTTGCTTCCTCCCCCTCCTCTCAATTTTGGTCTTATCCTCATCTTGCAACTGGATACAAGTTAATTTGAAATGCTAATTAGAAGGTTAAGGGTAATTTGGAAAGAATGACCAGTGGTCCAGTATGTGCATGTATCCTCCTATTATATGGGCAAGCTAGTTGATTAAGTGCAACTAATTAAGAGGAAGGTAAATTGTGCTCTGGTAAACAATTTCCTGGTTCTTAACAGGAAATTCAGGGAAATGGTTGACCAGGCTTACCTCTATCAACCTTGGAGGGAACGTAATTTTGAATCCTATAATCTCTTCCTGTGTAGTGCTTCTGGTGCCAAAAATATGATTTTAAAAATTTTAAGGCTTTGTTTAATATATTGAGCATGGATCAGAATTTGACATCGTCCACCCCTGTTATAACCTCTCGTATGCCAGTTTTTATTTACCCTTACCTCCCTCTTTACCTTGTCATTCCACCAATCATTTCTTTTCCTGCTGTATACACCCTCTTACATCCACAGAGTTCTGCTTTACACTGATACTGCATTCTTTAATCTACCTCATACCTTACTGACTCCCTCCACATCATCTGTACTCTCTCTAGCCCACCTTTCTTTCAAAGTTGCTTATGTCTTGCCCTAACTATTTCATTTTTTGTTTTTAATTTATAAACTTATAAACATTTCTCTCTTACCCACTGTTGACATTTTCCTTGTATCCTGTCTACCTCTTACACTCGCTGTTGCTTCTTTAAAACCATGCATTTTTTTTTTTTTACAGGGTTTTACAAGGTTAGGTTTAGGGTTCCTAATTTACAAGTTAAGAGCTGTTGCCTACATCAGCTCATTTGAAAGCCTTTTTATTGTTAAGATAAAGAACAAGATGAAGCTGGAGCCATCTGTGGGCCAGTGATTTCATTTGGTCAGCTGACTTTATTTCATTAATGTCATACTGTATGGACATGTTCCAGACAAGTCATCCTAGGAATAAATGATCTCAGATAAAGCGATGTTCTGGAGATGGGTACAGAATGTAGTTGCTGCTTGCTGTCCAGCTTGTGTAGAAGCTCAATTCTCACTGTCCTTGGAGTCGAGCCAAGTGTGGTGCCTTGACAATGTTGGCCTTGTATGTAACAGTAAGGCCACCCACATCCCTCCTGTGTTGAAGGCTCTGCTGAAATGACAGATCTGTCCAGGTTGAGTCCAGGCAAGAGAAGAATCATCTTGCTTTGTTCTCTATTTTGTCAAAAAGTTGCAGATGAGTTGGGAGACAGGTAGTCCAAGAAAGTGAGGCATACTTGAGGTGTGAGTGAAAACTTAGTCTGGCAGAAAACAAGTGGAAATGTGAGCCCTGATGTATTACCCAGACGGCCGGAAGCAGGAAGGATACAATGGAGCTGGTAAAAGCCCATCCCCACGGCTCGACTCTCTCTCTCCACACCCTTATCTTCCTTCCCCCTACCATCCCCTCAATTGATCCTCCCTCTAAAAATCACACACTCTTATTCCCTCTCCCCTCCCCTTATCCCACCTCTTAACACTCGATATACACATGTACACGTTTTCATTATACAACATAAGAACGAAAAAATACTGCAGTAACTGGCATCTTTTCATTTTCCTAATATCTTATCGATAAATCTATCAAAAGAAGGAGGGAACACTGCAGCAGGCCCATGCTAGGAAGAATCAGCTCGCACCTGTCCACCCACACTCACTCATTTACCCGTCCAATTTATGTTAAGCTACCCCAAGTTGTCCCTCATATAGAATCTTGCATCCTCTGCTGTTAAGTAGATGCAAGATACGTCTAAGTGCTGTAAGTTTCCTGGCTGTTTTATTGCAAGATTTACAACGTGGTTCATAGTCAGTTTGGAGTCAAATTTCACCCCAAGAATATCAACTTCATCTCTGGGTACCAACACTCTCCCACTTATTCTTATTGTTGCTCCAGCATTACCATCATGGTGCCTAGAAACAGTCATTATTTGTGTTTTTTCAGGAACAAATATGACCTGCCATCATTTTCCTCAGGCTGATGTGGCTTTAGCTGTTAATTGATATAGCAGCTTAGAGCATTTCCTCTCTTGGCTAAGTAAATGTCAGAGTACAGTTGTTTGGATATGCATGGGATTCTGGAATGAGATGGAGGTCATTAAAGTAGACATTCCATAACAATAGCCCAGGTACTCTTCCCTGTGGAACACTGACACCAATTGTGTGTCTTGTTGACTCTGTCCCATTTATAAACTTATCCTATGCTGCTGCTGATGTTCTGTTTGTGTGCTTCAAAGAACAGGCTTGGTATAATAGTTATTATAAGGACATTTTCTTCTACTATATGAGATTTTTCCTTCTCAAATTGTATGATGCTATATTTTCATTTTTTTTTTTTTTCCCCATCTTCCTGCTTCATAACTTATCTGTTGCTCAGGTATAGCGTGGTAAACATTGCAGTAAGTTCTATTATACAAAGTGCTTAATGACTGTAGGGTCCTATAACCTTTGTGGACAATATAAATGAATGGAGCTTTCTCCCATAGACAGTTCTTTTCTTGGGCTACACTTGTATGCATTTGTATGTATATTTATAACTAATATAGATATTAAATGTTTTACAAACATTTATTTTTTGGATGTATTGCTGTATTGACTTCATTACATTATTATTCATTGCATTTTTCAACAGAATGCTCCAAATGCAGTTCCATTGACAATTTCTCAAGAGGAGGCAACAATAACTTTCAACAATGTCAGCTTTGCATACACATCAGGGAATATAATTTTAGATAAATTAAGTTTCACTGTTCCAGCTGGCAAGAAGATTGCTATTGTTGGAGGATCAGGATCAGGGTGAGAATTACCACTTTGATATAAGAACTTTAATTATTTCATCATTATATTGTATATCTGCATCAGTCAACAGTGGGAAAGTACAAGAGAAGCAGCTTTGCTCCATTGGTGGCTCTGTGGTTTCACACACTGCAGTCCTACTTGGTTATCTGCTCCATTTTCACCACATCCACAGAACAAAACAATGGGAAATAGAATGACAGAATTGTTGCATCAGTGGTATAAGATACTGATAAGTTGATGAAAAAGACGTGTGTAATACCTGGGAATCTTTATATTGAAGATGTTTTGCCAATCAGTGGCTTTTTTGTAATACAAAGTACAGTACTGAATGGCTCAAGGCTAAGGGACTGATTACCTCAGCTTTCACTGTCTTCTGTATATAATTTGGCAAGGCAGGAGAACTGGTTACTTCATCTTCCACTGTCTTCTATATATGTTTCCAGGGGGAGTGGTGGCTATAAGTGGAATGGATGTACACAACTGTGACAGCTATAGGAGGCAAGGGGGAAGACAGAGGATGGGAAAGTTAAGTGTGAAGGAGCAAGAGGTTAGGAGGGAATTTTTGTGACTGGAAGAGTTTTGGATCTCTGAGGTTTTGGTAGAAGAGATAAAGGCCCAACTGGGAATGGCTATATGAGAGGAGAAATGAGGAAAGTGGAGGAAGAATGAATGTAGGCAAAGAGGTGGGAATATCAGAAGTGAGGATTGAATAAGGGTTGAACACAGGGGTGATTGAAAAGAGGGTTCAACAAGAACCTGAGGGCACTGAACCCCACTAGAGTAGGAGAGCCAAGCGAGTCTTCCTTGAAGATGGAGTTTTGTTGTTGTCATAGCATATGAAAGGCCCTCCCTTTCCTTGGGACAACAGATTTCACGTTCTCTCAAGTAAAGAGAGCATCACTGGAAATATGCAGGGTGAGCTTCATCTCAGTTAAGGCAAGTGAGAGGCAGGTTGTAGGATAGATTATGATCTGCACCGCAGACTAGGCATTCTTCCGGTGACCAACAATATACTTGCTTAGGTAGCCAAAGCATTGTCTACATTGTTGAGGTGTAGGGAGCAACTCTGCACCTGTAAGCATTGGCCTGCTGTACAGACAGAAGCTGGAAGCTAGCAGACATTGAAGTTTAGTTTAGCAATGTTGCTAGGATTATGTCTCCTACTCCAGGCCAGGCAGACATAAGTTTCCACTTTGGTGACTGAGAGATGTTGGAGCTCAAGTTACTTCTGAATGTCCAGGCCATATTGCAGAAAGTCTTATTGGATAATTGTATGCAGGCTGAGGACAGTACCACATCTAGAAGTGTGAAAGGAATGTGTGTGTTCTGTGACAGGGATGTTGTCAGTAAATTGAAGGAGGGAAAGCTTGTCAGCTTGCTTAGTGTCCTTCACAGTGACAATATGCATTCCATTCTTGAGGGCATTAAAGGATACATTTTGACTCTCATGCCTCATGAATGCTTTGCTAATGCCATGGTCATAAAACTGAGTGGAGGGGAATAGGTTTTCAGGTAGTGCATTTCTTAGGGTTGGGGCAAGAAGAAATGTCTGTAAAGACATCAAGTAGAATTCTAGGTTGTTTGGATGCTGGTGTCGAGCCAATCTGTCCTGTGACGTACCACCAGTTCAAAAATCGAAATGCCATCGTGGAAGAAGCTGAGTACATGGTCAAGGTAGAGCAGTCAGAGGTATCACAAGAGTTGACCAGAACACCAGCACAGGCATTAGGCAATGAGGTGTTGTCCAAAAGCAGTACTGGGTTCAAAGGACTGTCTATGGGTAAGTCTGGGTCAGGTAAGGGTGCTACAGAGGTAAAAGGTTCAGGAGGAGGCAGATCATGAATTGGACCGTCTGTTTTTTTTTTTTTTTTTTTTTTTTTTGAGGGGGGAAGAAAAGAGGAGCAGATAAAAAAAAAGGGGGGGCATAGAAAGGAAGAGAGGGGCAGCTCTGAGGAGAAACAAAGATCACATCTCCCACCATGTCCAAGAGTATGCCTTTTGCAGCAAGTATTGCCGATGCTGCATAGAAACTGCCCCCTACCCTGCCCTGCATGCTAGTAAATGAGCAATTAACGATGGCTCCCTGACATTACTGAGCCATCTCAACTGACAGAAGAGAAACCCACCAAGTCATATCCCATTGTGGCTGCCACCTCTCAGAACTGATATGCAAGCACCAGGGATACTACCATCACCCAAGGACACAGGAAGCCACCCTCCGAAACTCTGGAGGATAGTTCAGCATATCCTAAGATGCATATGACTGGCAGTAACAGCCTGGTTGATCATGCCCTGATACACTGCTAGGCCTGGTCATGGACCGGGTTGCGGGGGCATTGACCCTTGGAATATTCTCCAGGTATGCATTTCCTATGAAAAACACCACCCAGGGCCTCAGTGGAATGGGATGGAGAACAATCTCTCTCTTCTCAACCTAGAATATCCCCAAAGGCTGAATGAGTAGATGAGTGGAGGGGTGGGGGTAATCAGATTCGATCAAAGGGAGGAGACCAAAGGTTTAATTCCTTGGATCAAGAGCCCTTCACTGTGTCAAGGGACCTCTCTTGAAGGAATATAAATATGTAGATTGGATCTCTAATACTGTATCTTTGGTAGCTTCTCATCTAAGATGGGAGGAAAGTACCTTAAGCTTAATTTTTAATTCATTGTTTACACTTTAGGAAATACGTACTTGAAATATACTATTAATTGGTCTTTAACCCGTAAACGGTCCAAACGTATATATACGTTTTTTCAACATTTGAAAGTATGTAAAAAAAGTAGATCTTCTTTTTTTTTTTTACATTTGAAAATGTGTAAAAAACTTTGATCTACTTTTTTTTTTTTTTGGTTATATTTGAAAATATGTAAAAACCATAGATCTATTCTTGGAGCACTACACATGTGAACATAGATCTGCTTGGACCGTTTACGGGTTAAGGAAAAGACTTATAGTTCCAAACTTACTTATCTTTAGGACAAATTTTTATTTTTTATGGACTTTTAATGATCCTGATTCCTGGGGTTGGCCTGCTTTAGAATTTTCCTCAAAGGATTGATTACCTACAACATTGCAAGACACTGATTTATCTGAATTTTTTTTAATTAAATTTGCCTTTTGTTTTAACTATCACTTAAATATGAAGACAAAGATACAAGATGCAAAACAAACTCTTATTAGGACAATGTTTTGCTCTGTGTACAGCTTTATCAAGTCATACGGAGGTTACAGTTAACAAACATGTATATCACTTAAATGGTGACTAATGTTATGAATTTGGCATGCTTAGTGTGAATGAGGTAACAAGAAGGAATACAGGGAACCAGTTAACCAGATTTAAGTTCTGAAGGTGAGAAGCACACTGCTTGTACTTTGGAAAGACAGTTTGGAAATGAGTAATAATAAATGAATTTTTTTGGGTCACCCTGCCATTGAGGAAATTACTAGTTTTCAAAACAAAACATTAAAAATAAGTGAAGCTGCTGATACTTGCATGTAGTGAGAAGCAAGTGGTATATTTTAAGAAAAGTATCTGAGAAAACAGAAAAGACACTGAAGTGTACAATATAAAATCCTAACTAATGAAAATAATAATTGAAAAAATAATGGTTAATAAAATGTAGCAGACCACTACATGGTTCTTCTGTGTGAGTAGCCAAAGAAAGGAACTGTCAATGGGAAAAGGTGCAACCCTCAAGGGATCACCTGGGACAACTCTCTATCATGACTTACCTAGATTAGTATTGAACATGTTCAACATACAGGGTTTCACTTAAATATTTATTAAAGTTTTACCTATAATTTGAATTCTCCACTCCCACAGGTTTGATATGCAATCAGGGTTTATCCTGTATATCTGTATGACCTCTGTGGGGTTAGCTCTTTCATTGTATTATAATTATCCTGTACAGGATTGTTATACTGTATGTAATAAATATTTGTGAGATAAATTCCTTGCATTTCCATGAAATATTTATTTATATATTCAAGGAAGTCGACAGTTGTGCGCCTCCTGTATCGCTTCTATGAACCCAATAGTGGTAGCATCTTGATCAATAATCAAAACATAGCTGATGTGAACATGGATAGTTTGAGGAGGGCCATTGCTGTTGTCCCACAGGTAAGTTAATGGATTGTTTTTTACCTGTACCATATTTGTCAAAATTGAACATTTTTCTCTTAACATTTAGTAATTCATTTAGGAGAAGTTGTTACTAGCTCCTTGTTCCCAGCATTTTAGTTGCCTCTTACAACGTGCATAACTTGTGGAAGAAGGATTTTTCTCCACTTTCCCCATGGAGAAAATTGAACATACCTTATTTTGTATCTTGGTTATCTGTCTCAGAATATTTCCCATCTTACAACCACTTTGGGGTTCCTACTGTCATATTTTGCTTGGCATTTCTTTTTAGCCACAGAGCTAAATAATTCTACCTGATAAAAAGACACTTTGGCAGACACTATGAGAACTTAAGAAAGGAGGAACACTGCAACAGGCCTGTTGGCCCATACTAGGCAGGTCCTTTACAATCCATCCCACTAACAAAACATTTACCCAACCCAATTTTCAATGCTACCCATGAAATAAGGTCTGGTAACTATCCACTCATTTGCAAGTCCCACTCAAATCCAACCCCTCTCACTCATATATTTATCCAACCTAAATTTGAAACTACCCAACTAGGTAGACTGTTCCACTCATCAGCTACCCTATTTCCAAACCAATACTTTCCTATGTCCTTTCTGAATCTAAACTTGTCAAATTTAACTCCATTACTGCAGGTTCTCTCTTGGAGAGATATCCTCAAGACCTTATTAATATCCCCTTTATTAATACCCATCTTCCACTTATACACTTCGATTATGTCTCCCCTCATTCTTCGTCTAACAAGCGAATGTAATTTAAGAGTCTTCAATCTTTCTTCATAAGGAAGATTTCTTATGCTATGTATTAATTTAGTCATTCTACGCTGAATGTTTTCTAACAAATTTATGTCCATTCTGTAATATGGGGACCAGAACTGAGCTGCATAATCTATGTGAGGCCTTACTAATGATGTATAAAGCTGCAGTATAACCTCTGGACTTCTGTTGCTTACACTTCTAGATATAAATCCCAATAATCTATTTGCCTTATTACGTACATCTCTCATTGACACAAAACTTGTTTTACAATCAAACTGTTGTCTCATAAAAGTTCCATTTTGCTGTAGTTTCTTTTTATCATAGTGTCAGTTTTATGACCTCATTTCCACATTCTACTTTATTATATATATATTGTTCTTTAATGTTGAAAAACTCTAGCTATGAAGCTTGTGTTGTTATTATATTTGATATTAATTTCAGGACTGTGTGTTGTTCCATGACACCATAGCATATAATCTGCATTATGGTGATCTCTCTAAGGATAGCAGTCAAGTCCAGGAGGTTGCACAGTTAGCAGAGCTCCATGACTCCATTATTACCTGGGAAAAGGGTTATGATACTCAGGTAAGAGTTTTGAAAACTGAGTTATATAAAGAAATACTGAGGCATTGGTGGGACTTCATTGTTAGTAGTCCCATTATGTTTATACAGTAGACTTAAACATAATGTCAACACTTCATGTAATTTTGTGATATGCGATGCGAATAATATTGGGAAAAAAATAGCATTGCATTCATTATGACTTTAATAAGCCTCTCTTTTTTCTGAATCTGATTTTTAGATTTCTTAGTTGTCAAAAGTAATGAAGTTTTGATACTTTACATTGTAATTATGCTGCTTGTTGTGTTTGGGATAGGCTCACATGATGCTAAATCTGATTAAAAGTTGAAGTTTTCACAGTTGCTCTTTTCTGATGATATTACTTTATGAAATTTGGAGGGGAAATTGCAGAGGTGTTGGCAGAAAAGTTTGAGGGTATGTAAAAGAAGGAAGATAGAAATATACAGAAAAGAGCAAGTTGATGAGAGTAGAAAGAAGTATAGGCAATGAAAGATTAGAGAAAAGGAGTATGGGAGGAATAAACATATTTAAAATTATGAGAGAGTAGGTGTGTCAGAGTGAGTGTGAGATGGGCTTGCCTAACATGAGCCAGCAGGCTCATTCTTGTATTGTGTTTGTGTGTACTGAGGAACCTGAAAAGAAGTTTGTCAGTGGTTGTAATGAGGTGAATGTATCAAAGTATAATGGTACCAAGACTTGTGTATAGATGGGAGGTGTGGTTCTTTACTCTTTTGTGGTGAGGCTAGGGCATGGAGATGTTCTGTTTGAGTTTGATAGGTGGTGTGAATATTCATAGAAGAGAAGAAATTAGAAGATGTCTTGGTATGAAAGGAATAATTCTGGTAATATCTGTGAACAGATTTAGGGAAAACTGGTTAGCCAGACTCAAGTTCCAGAGGCAAGAAGTGAAACCTCTGCACTATGAAGGAGAGGTGGAAATGTTAGAGTTCAGTAGATCATTTAAATTGTGTAAGTGCACTTTTAGAAAGTCAACTAGAAAGTGAATGATAATAAATGAGCTTTCCTTCTTTGGGTTACCATACCCTGGTGGGAAATGGCCAGTGTGCTGTATAAAAGTTCACATTTTGGTCTATATTTTTATCCTTACATTACAATGTATGAATGTTATGACAGGTGGGAGAGCGGGGCCTGAAATTGTCTGGTGGAGAAAAGCAACGTGTAGCAATTGCAAGAGCCATTTTAAAAAATGCACCTATCCTCATCTTTGATGAAGCCACTTCCTCTCTAGACTCTATTACAGAACAGGTACCTGATTGAATTTTTTGTTGTTGTTGAATTTGTGAAATGTGTATTAAGTCAGCCTTAACCTTTTAGCTGTGTCCAACGTACTAGTACGCAAATGTTGTCTGTGTCCAACACTAGTACGCACAATTTTTCATACCCACTAATCTGCCACCTGCCAATATTTTAGACTTTAGCACCACTCTTTGGGTCTTCCATCTATTCATAAATTTGAAAACATCAAGGGCCAGCAGGGTCCACACAATGTATTATACCTAATTAGCAGAAGTAAACAATAAACCTGGAGCTGTTGTTCTACTACCAGCTTTCCTACCAGCAAATTGGGTGTTAAAGTGGCACTGAGATGACTTATTCATTTCATATTTACAGTTTCATGATACTAACAGGGAATTCAGTCACAAAACACACTTAAGTATATTTAACCCAGGATAACCCAGTAAAGTCAGTGTGAATAACTTCCATGCTTTGAGGAGTACAGTAGTCCCCCCAAATTCACGGGGGTTACGTTCCAAGACCACCCTCAAATTTGGAAAAAAACGTGAATTCTGGACATGATTAAAAAACTGCTTGTGAATGTCTATTTTTATAGTTTAAACCCTAAATATGCCCCAAAAACACTTTAATTTCAAACTCAGCTTCATACATCATCCTTAAAAAAAAAAAAAGTAAAGATAAACCCATATACAGTACTGTACTGCTATGTCTCCTGCAGTGCTAGAATGTAAAATACCGATGTTACTCCCATATGTACTGTAATTCATGCAAGACCATTTTCTTTGGTATACTGTAATTCATGCAGCCCTGTTTTCTTTGTTATACTTACGGTAAAAATTTTTTTTTCTTTTTTTTTAACAAACTGGCCGTATCCCACCAAGGCAGGGTGGCCCAAAAAGAAAAACGAAAGTTTCTCTTTTTAAATTTAGTAATTTATACAAGAGAAGGGGTTACTAGGCCCTTGCTCCTGGCATTTTAGTTGCCTCTTACAACACGCATGGCTTACGGAGGAAGAATTCTGTTCCACTTCCCCATGGAGATAAGAAGAAATAAACAAGAACAAGAACTAGAAAGAAAATAGAAGAAAACCCAGAGGGGTGTGTATATATATATATATGCTTGTCATGTATGTGTAGTGTGACCTAAATGTAAGTAGAAGAAGCAAGACGTACCTGAAATCTTGCATGTTTAAGAGACAGAAAAAAGACACCAGCAATCCTACCATCATGTAAAACAATTACAGGATTCCGTTTTACACTCGCTTGGCAGGATGGTAGTACCTCCCGGACAGTTGCTGTTACCAACCTACTACCTACAACTTATGGTAAATCATCATCTTTCAACAAACCAGCCGTATCCCACCGAGGCAGGGTGGCCCAAAAAGAAAAACAAAAGTTTCTCTTTTAAATTTAGTAATTTATACAGGAGAAGGGGTTACTAGTCCCTTGCTCCCGGCATTTTAGTTGCCTCTTACAACACGCATGACTTACGGAGGAAGAATTCTGTTCCACTTCCCCATGGAGATAAGAGGAAATAAACAAGAACAAGAACTAGAAAAAAAATAGCAGAAAATCCAGAGGGGTGTGTATATTTATGCTTGTACATGTATGTGTAGTGTGACCTAAGTGTAAGTAGAAGTAGCAAGACGTACCTGAAATCTTGCATGTTTATGAGACAGAAAAAAAGGCACCAGCAATCCTACCATCATGTAAAACAATTACAGGCTTTCGTTTTACACTCACTTGGCAGGATGGTAGTACCTCCCCGGGTGGTTGCTGTCTACCAACCTACTTACGGTAAATATACAGTAATAATTTAATTTAGTAACAGTAAAGTTAAATGTACGGGTACTCACTAATAATGAATGATACTGTTCTCTCTACAACAATAAAAAATTTATACAGCATTATATTTTATATGGAATTTTGCTGAATTTACTTTAATATTTATGTTACAAAATTATTAAATTATATTTTTCTTAATATTTAGCATTAAAACACAAATTATATATTCCACGAAAAAGTAAAAAAAAAAAAATTTGTGAATTTGCAGGGATTTCTGTGAATAATTATGAATTAGGTTTTGAGGAAAAATTCGCAAATTACTGAAGCTGCGAATTCATGGGGTCCACTGTATTACTATCTGAAACAATTGCAATATTATAAGTACTCCTTGTATATAACCTTAAAAGATCAAAATAGTAAAAAAGACATTAGAATAAAAAAGTTATACAGTACAGTGGAACCTCAATATTCGTATGTCCCTATATTCGTACAACTCAACATTCGCCCAACTTTTTTGAGAAAAATTTGACTCAGTATTTGAACATTGCTCTGATATTCGACCTAAACAAAACATCCATCTGGATGAAGTCTGATAAAAACAAAGCATCATGTGCTGTCTCTCGTCTGCTTTCATTCGTCAAGCATCATTCATACAAGCTCTCTGAAACTTTTTGGTACTTCATTCTTATTCTGTGGTGTATTTTAAATATTTTCATTGAAAATAAGTAATCATGGTCCCAAAAAATAGTAGTGATCCAGACAAGCCTAAAATGAAGCAGTGAAAACAACAATTAACGTGGAAAAAAGAACTTGGGAAGTGCGACAGTGGAACATGTGTGTTGGACCTGGCCACTCAATATGGTATGGCGAAATCCACCGTATCGTCCATGTTGAAAAATAGAGGCAATAAAAGGGGCTGATGTGGCAAAAGGAATGAAAATTCTTGCTGTGGAAAGGTCACAGATAATTGAAGAAATGGAAAAACTTTTGTTAGTGTGGATTAATGAAAAATAACTGGCCAGTGGCAGTGTTTCCGAAACAGTAATTTGTGAAAAACCAAAGCCGTTTTATAGTGAGCTTGGGTGAGACACCCTGAGAAACAATGCTGAAAGTGATGAATTGAGGGCAAGTAGGGGCTGGTTTGATAGATTTAAAAAGAGGAGTGGGATTCATAGTGTAGTAAGGCATTGGAGGGCTGCCAGTGCTAACAGAGATGAGGCTGAAAAGTTTGTTAAGGAATTTAAAACCTATGTAAACATTGAGGGATTTATTACTCAACAAGTTTTTAAGGAACTGTGTTACCATTGGGCTCAAACACAGAACCTTGTGGAAAAATGGCATCCTAACATTACTGTTTTGAATAGGAGCATCAGCCTGTTCAATGATAGTGTCGTTGACCACTTTAGAAAAATTTTGAAAAGTCATCAAAAGCAGACAACACGGGACAGCTTCTTCAGCAAAGAAGAAATCAAATGCCAGTGAATCCCCATCATCTTCAAGTGCTACTGCACGGAAACTGAGAAAAGACACCAGACAGGCACCCGTTCTGAACATTAACATCTCTCCACCTTCCTCTTAGGCCATCAGCACTCCTCAGTAAAGATAAAGTGCAGTTAAATTATCATTTATTGCTTTTATAGTTTTTATGTATGAGTTTATGCATACAATTATTATTATACAGGTTTAAATAAGCAATATTTTCACTTTAAATGTATTATAATTGGTAATTTTGGGGGGTCTGGAATGGATTAATCCAATTTACATTATTTCTTATGGAAAAAATTGATTCAGAATTCGTACAACTCGCCATTTGAACAGCCTCCTGGAATGGATTAAGTTTGAATATTGAGGTACCACTGTATGTATATATACAGTGGAACCTCAAATTTCGAACTTAATCCATTCCAGGAGCTAGTTCTAAATTCGAAAAGTCTGAAATTCGAAGCAATATTTCCCATAAGAAATAATGGAAATACAATTAATCCATTCCAGAAACCCAAAAATATTCACAAAAAAAATACATTTTATAGAGATTAATTACAGTTTTACATACACATAACAAATGCTATAGTCTTTAATTATGTATAGTAATATAAAATAACATTTTTACTTACCTTTATTGAAGATTGGTGATGGCATCTGGAAGATAGGGAGGAGGAGAGAGGGAGTTGGGGTTAGTGTTTGGAAGGAGAATCCCCCTCCATGAGGACTTCCGGTATCAAAGCCCTCTCTGGGGTTGCTTCCCTTCTCTGTGTTTTAATGCCACTAGGACCAGCTTGAGAGTCATTGGACCCCAGTCTCACAAAATAACTATCTACAGTCCTCTGTTTCTGTCTCACAAAATAACTATCCACAGTTGTCTGTTTCTGTCTCTCAAAATAACTCCACAATCGTCTCACAAAATAACTCCACAGTCGTCTGTTTCTGTCTCGCAAAATAACTGTCCACAATCATCTGTTTGTCTCACAAAATAACTCCACAGTTGTCTGTTTCTGTCTCACAAAATAACTGTCCACATCATCTGTTTTGTCTCACAAAATAACTCCACAGTTTGTCGTTTCTGCTCACAAAATAACTCCACATGTCTTTTCTGTTCACAAAATAACTGTCCAAAATCGCTGTTTGTCTACAAAGTAAATCCAGTTTCTGTCTCAAAATAACTCACACGTCTGTTTCTGTTCACAAAATAACTTCCACAATCGTCTGGTTTTCAATAACTCCACATTTCTGTTTTTCTCACAGGGTAACTGTCTAGTCATCGTTTCTTGCCTCACAACTAACTTCCACAGTCCTCGTACATCCTGGCAATCAACAATCTCACTCAATCTATACTTCTGTATTATTGCTTCTCAGTCTATGGTGTTTCTCACTTTCTTTAACCACAGGGTACTGCAGCAAGTTTCTTGGGCCCATGGCGCTTATTGCACAGCCGACAGACGAACCATAATATCGTAAATGTGAAGGATCGCAGTTAGTGTTCACTCAGCGTTCAAAAAAAGCTGCTGCCAGGGCGCCTGCGCAGGGACGCGGACAGATTGGCCAGCAGAAGGTCCGTATCCAGCGGTCCAAAATAGGGCCGTTCGATTAATAGGATCACAGTTTGTCGAAAATGTCTATTCAAACGTTGAGAATGTGGTAGTTCGATTTTTGAGGTCCATGTATTGATTATTCCAAGTGAAGCAATTTGGCTAAGCATTTCACATGTTATGAAGTTCAAGCACTTTG